TCGTCTTTTTTTTCTTTTTCTTTTTTAATTTACGTTTTGTGGATCTTGTATATGAACAGTTTTGTGTTTAGCGCATTATAACTTATAAGTTGAGCGTAAAATTTGTTGATACAAGGCACCGATGACGTAGAATCATCTACATGGTTGACTTTCAACTTTCGTGAATTATCGTATAATAGTATGCTTTACCTTTTTGCCTCTCCGCATTCTACTTTCATTTCTCCTATATTCTAGAATATAATCCTACTCTTTAACGTATTCTCAAGTCTTAAGACTATCAGGTATGGATCCCTTGCAGTGGTGTTATAACAAGAAGCAACAAGAAAATGAGGTGGTGTTCATGGTTAGGGATGAGCATCGGAACCGGGTACCTGCTTTCGGAACCGGAACCGCCTTGGAACTGCCGGTTCCGAAACTGGAACCGCCTTAAGCGGTTCCGGTTCCGGTTCCTAAAGTTACGGAACCGCCTTAAGTGGTTCCGGTTCCGGTTCTCATTTTTTAGGAACCGCTACCCGCTGGGTACCCGCCGGAACCGGTATATATATATATATATATATATATATATATATATATATATATATATATATATATATCTTTACTACTTATAAAAGAAATCTAACTATTTCTATAAATAGATTGAATATAATAATATTATTTTTTAAGACGTCCAAACTATTAAGCTTGAAGTACAACCCATTTATAATATAATAATATTAAAACTTTAACCTTATCCTTTATCCCATAAAAATCTCGTATCAAATTAATAGAAAAATTAATTTGCAAATTGAACCCGTCAATCTCAACACTTCAGCCATTTGAAGCGGTCAATGTCAACAATTTATAGAGGATCTTTTTTCTCACATTGGTAACAAGCCCTCTCATAATATTTATCTTCGTAATCCCTTCAAAGTAAGAAATATACGCACACTTTCTCGAAGAACCCTAACCAGTAACCAAGACAGTATAACCACCACCACCACAGCCGCTCTGCCTACTTCCGCCTTCAACCAACCACTATCACGACTACCGTCATTCCTCTCACCCACGGCATGAACTTTCTTTTGGAACATAATATTTTTCTTTAAAAAAATATCGTTGAAAGAAGCTATTTGTCCCCGCTGCTGTGCGCGGGTAACGGCTATTGTATATATATATATATATATATATATATATATATATATATATATATATATATATATATATATATATATATATATATATATATATATATATATATTGGTATCTAGTATGAATATATGTGTGCGCTATTTTGACCGATTTAGAAAATATTGATCCGATTTTGTCCGTTTTTGTTCCGAATTTATTCGATTCCGACCGAAATAAATTATAGTTTTATTGAAATTTTTTAATAAAGTTGATGTAACCGGGTTACCCGCTCCCGGAACCGGAACCGCTGGTTCCGGGACTGGTTCCAAAAATTGAAGAACTGCCTAGACCGGTTCCGGTTCCGGTTCTAACTTTCTAGGAACCGCCGGTTCCGGTTCTCGCCAAATGAGGCGGGTACCCGTCTACGCTCATCCCTATTCATGGTGTTATAACCATATTAAGAAGAGAAAGATAATTTGACAGTCAATAGAAGAACTCGTTTCTTCTTGTTATGTAGACAACAAGAAGCACCACAATAAGATACAACAAGAAGGGGGGCGGTGTTCTCCTCCGTCATAACGTTGTTAAGGATGCCACCTCAGCACAACGAGCACGCCACAATACCCATAACGTCTGCTCTAAGAACTTGCATACATCTCATTGTTCTGTCAAATGTGGAAGTAGAAAATAATTTAGAAGAAATTGGATAGAAAGAAAAACAAGAAATCAAGAATGGCTTATTTATTTATTCGATGGGCATGTTCCAGTCAAAAGACTTTCTCCAATGATACATTTTAAGTCCCTTTACTTTGTATGTTTGTCAAAGACAACCCCTGAACAGTTGTTTTAAGCCATTTACATTACAATCTCCACCTTTGCTTACAAACTAAGTCCAACCTTTATTTTCAATACAACCAAAAATAAAAGTCCAAACTTCCTTACCAACCTTGAAGCCATGACCTTGGATATATACAAGACCGATCGACCAACCAAGCCTTTGGAGCCATCAAACCAAACACTTTGTTCTCTACCAAACCTCTTGCAACACTGTATCCTTATCTTTTGTACCCATGCTTTGATCTATTGGACCTGTACAAATAGTAGCGGTGTACAAAGAGTAGCGGACACTGAAAGTTTGAGCAGTGGTGGCATCCCAAAAAAATTCTGAATAAATCTAAAATAGCATTGACACGCATATTTCAATGCATTGCACCTAATAGAAAAAGAAAAAAAAAAAAAAAAGTTACCCTAAAGGAGGAGGGAGTCGTTCCTCCTGAACCCACTGAACTTAATGTCACATCAGTTTTCTTTTTCATTTTTCTTTATCTTTCCCACCTTACAACATATGAAAATCCTATATTTTTCAACCCATTCAACCTGCTCAATTAAAAAAAATACTAAATACAAATCTTAAAACACACAGTACAAGAGAAAATGAGAGAGAGAGAGAAAGAGAGAAAGTAAAGAGATACTGAAGTGGGTTCGTGAAACCAATTAAACAACCGGCTAAAAAACGAGTGGTACCAACGATAACTCTATTGCTAATTAACATTTTACCTTGATTATTTTGTGTTTTTTTTTAATTGAGTGGGTTTAGTGGGTTGAGAAGGATAGGATTTCCGTATGTTGTGGCTTGGGAAAGATGATGAAACATCAAAAAGAAAAGTTAATGTGTCAGTGGGTTCATTGGGTTCAGTGGGTTGGAAGGGAACGACTCCTTGCTCCCTAATAACTGAAATTGGAGTAGTGGCCCAGACCCCGAGGCACAACATAAGTCCACCACCGTGTAGAAACCCTTTGTAACGATGCTTAATTTGGTGAATGCCCCAAACCATAAACAGACTCTTAATGTCAACCCATGCAATCCACCATCTGATAAACCAAAAACCCACGTTGGTTGAGCCACTGAGTTTCCTTGATTGATATCTCAATAAATAACCTTCTCATGTTGTACAACTAGAGAACAATTTTTCTTTATAGTCAAATCCTACCATTCAATTCAACGCACGAGCCACAAATCGCACACTTGGACTGTCTAGCATCGTTACCCGTTTTTCATCTAAAAACGCATCTATTTGTCGGGACTCATGCCAAACCAGGCGGTCTAATTACGGTTAATAATTTTCTTTTATATACCTTTTCTATACAACATGCCACTCCAAAATTATAATATGAGAGATTCGAACTTGGTGTAACTCTCTTTAAAATGTTTGATTCTCAAGTGATCAGCGCTAAACTACATTGATGACGGTTAAGATTCCCCTTAAGTTGTGGTCTTTCCAACCTTTTAATTACTTTGATCATTATGCCCCTCTGCAATCTTTGTGGCCTTCTTATCAAATGCTTCAAGTTGTTTTATCTGACACAACGAACAGTTATTAATTTATTGACAAAGTTTGAAGGACGAAAGTTTTGGGATTTTGGAATATTGGGATATATCGATCAAATAAATTCATAAGATCTATAAGCAAAACATGATCCAAATAGTTTTGGATATTATAATTAACATACACACTATTTATTCGTAACATTTGTAAATGATATAAAACCAAATTGAAGTTATAAAATTATATATTATATATTTATTTTTATTTCTTGAACATTGAAAAAGGTGAGAAAGTGAGGGAACGAAAAGAGGAAAGCTTGGTGTCTTGTTATGCTTTATGGATACATTTACTTTTGAGATAAAGATTACTGACCAATTGGCAAATAAATGTTTTTAAAACTTATCTTGGAACATGGTAACTTGAAGCAACATTTTTTTACTAATATTTAATATTTTTTTTAGTGATGTATGGGATTGGTTTCATTCACAGCTAACCAAAAAAAAGAAAACGTAAATCGTTTCGATGAAAACATTGCTATTTTGTAATGAAGTGCGGGAGTTGTACGTTTCGTTCAATGATTACATTTGACAATCTAAGTAATATCCACTTAAAGAAAAATAGCTAATTATTGATGAAAATGTTATAGTCACTAAAAGCATCCTTACTATGGTTTAATGGGAGCGTTGAATAATATGGTATGTTTAATTGATATTTAATAGATTAAACTCTATTGACATTCAATGAATATAAAACCTTTTATATATATATATATATATATATATATATATATATATATATATATATATATATATATATATATATATATATATTGAGATGATCAAATGAGAACACCTAAAACGTTGAGAACGCGAGAACAATTCTGGACCAATTAATATATAAGGCCATAGTAATAATTTTATATTTTCATTAAATTAAAATAAAATAAAATTCAATCAAATTCCCTTAAATTTAGGACCAGTTACTAAAAAAGAAATAAATATTCAATTTTTTATTTTTCTTATTAATGAAATATAAAAAACATTTTTACCAAAATTTATTTTAAAACTGAAAAAAAAAAAAAATTCTTAAAAAATCAATTTTTTTGAACACCAAATTAGTATATTTGTATTCATAAATGATTTTTTTTTTCAAAAACCGTGATACTACTCCAATCACAAATAAATATACATCAATTTACAAGTAATCTAATTACTTTTTTTAATCAATTGAAAATAAAAAAGAGTGTAAAAATTATCATTTCTTCATAAAAAGAATACCTCTAATAATAAATAAATATACTCATTAATATATGCTTGCAATGTTATTCACAAATAAATACACTGCTATTAACAAATGAGTACCCTGTTATTCAGAATTTAATAAATGAATACCTCTAATCATAAATAAATACATTAATTCACTGTTATTCACAAATGAATATACTGCTATTCACACATAAATGCACTGCTATTCATTAACTGTCATCCACACATGAATGTAGTGCTATCCACAAATGAATAATTGCTATTCATAGATAAATACAATTTTTCATTCTTCCATTTCCTCTCACACTCCCTTCTTTGTCTCCAATCTTCGAGGTGCAACAAAAACAACCCCCACCAGAGGTGTTTGCTGGTGGTTTCCGGCGAGCCAAGGGCAGCAGCCCCCTCCGTTTTCTCCCACTGTTTTACGACACACCAAGCAACCCAAACACCCCTTGTTGTCGTCTTCTTTCTGCCTTCCTCCCCTTTCATCGACAGTAACGGGAACAAGAAAACAAAGTGGTGAAGAGGTTGCCAGAATAACCCCAGCCACTCCACTACTACAATGAACCACCAAATCGGTGGAGGTGCTCCCTATTCTTCTTTCTTCGCCCCTGAAACTATTTCATACTTCATCATTTCATGTTCTTGATAGAAAACCCCAAAATCGGAAAAACACAAAATTGAACGTGAAAGAGATGGATTTAAAGTGAAAGAGATGGAGTTGCAACTCAAAACATCGAATAAAGGTGATATATCAATGAATCGATTCTGAATAAATTAAAGATAAAGGAAGCCCTAATCATACCCTTTACCCTTCGTAACTAGGAAACCACCATCGACATAGCCTCCATCATCAGCCTTTATCTTCACAGCAACATTCAAGCAAAATCGAGACCATACCTTCCAACTTGAAATCGATTACTGGTTTAGAATCTCCAATTAAAACCGATGAACTAACATCGACTTGTAGAGTGCTCTTTCGCTGATTCTATGGCCTCCTCCTGCTCTATGGTCTGGGTCAGCTTCTAATATGATGTATGAGATTAGGCGGTGAGATGATGCAGATGTCGATTGTATGGTCAACAAAATTGAGTGAAATAGAGTAATTATAGGAGTTTATAAAATTAGGGTAATGCTTATTTACCTTAATAGCCTTTATAATTTTTTTAAAATTTAAAATTTAAATGTATTAATAATTAGAAAAATAACAATTAATTATAGTCACATATCTTAAGAATTAGATGGCTCAGATTTGTTTTCGCGTTCTCAACCTTTTAGGTGTTCTCATTTGATCCTACTCCTATATATATATATATATATATATATATATATATATATATATATATATATATATATATATATATATATATATATATATATATATCATTGAACTCTACTAAGTTCAATGCATTGTAAGAAAATTAATATAAAATTGTATAGTAAATAAAATAATAATGTGTCAATCCATTAAACTGTAATAAATTTAATGCATTGTGGATGTCCTAACGGTAGAAAAATAGTCACTAAAATGATTTAGTGACCAATAAAATGGTGGTCCATTTTCATCACTATGTCTGTCACTAATTTGATTAGTAACCCAAAATCTATAAATGGTAACTAAATACCAACTAAAATATAGTGGTCACTAAACTTTTGTTACGACATAAATATACCCTGTCAAATAATAAACATAAATTGTTCTTAAATTTAAAGAAACTCACAATCTACATCATTGAAATGGCTAACAATTAAAAAAGGTTATATATTCAAATTTGGACAAAGTAGGATTATCCAGGCCGACGATAGTGTAACGTCTCAAATTCAAAAATAATTTTTTATTCTTAAAGTAGAATAAACACACATTTATTAAAGTTACATTCAATTCAACTAATAGTTCATTAACCATAATTCAAAACTTAGAGTTATAAGAAGACAATGCAGAAATATCGAATCATAAATATTGATGTGTGTACAGTCCCGCATTCACAATCCAATAAGTACATAAAAAATATTTAATCCACATCTGTAAGCACAAATCTTAGTGAGTTCCTTAAAATATTACATACAACACATCATCAATAAAGAGTTATGGGTTATCAACAACCCCGGGGACAACCTCAATGTGCTAACAGCACGCCCTGTGGGCTAACATCACGCCATGTAGGTTATCAAGTAACCCTGAGGACTATCAGCAGTTCCAGTGGGCTAACAACATGTCATGTGGGTTATCAAAAACCATGAGGACTATCACCAATCTCAATGTGCTAATATCACGCCCTAGATCTATCGGCAACTCAATAAGACATAACACCAAAACATAAATTAGACCCAACTGGTCAGCGTGCACACAGTATGGCATAAGTAATACAGTGAGAAGACTCACTTGAATGAACATCTGAAATCTACTACTCAAATTCCCATAGAATCAGTTACATGAACCTCCTAAACCAAACACATGCTAAACCTTAGACTACAACCTAACACGTCTTATAGTTTGACGAAAAGTCAAACTGGTGAAAAGTCAATAGTCAAAGTCAACCTCAGTCGATAGCCACATCGTGGCCACCTATTAGTCACATCATCGTAGCTTCTCGACAAAACACTCGGGCAACTACTAGTCGCCACGTCGTGGTGAGCAGACTGGCATGTCACGGAAACTAGGTTTTCACAACCTAATGGATTAAGCTCCCACTCCATTAAGCCACCCATTCATACACTCCATAAAGCTTCACAATGACAAATACAACATAAATATCGATGGTTTTCAAACATACATTTCCAATGCAAGTGTAACACTCAAACTAGGTCAAAACGGTGAAATAAGACCAAAATCTCATACATGGAACTTAATACACAATAAAAATTAGATCCAAGAGATATAAATATCATAGGACTAATTAGAGCCATAAAGTTGCAAGCATTATATCATATAACCAACACAAACTCGAAGATGAGCCAATAAATGCAATAAATCCTAGATCTATGAAGAGAGAAGCAAAAATTTGGAAGCTTTATACCTTCTTAATCTCTACAAGTTATAGGAGATGCAAGATCTAGAGTTATACACTCTTTAAACTAGCAAGAAAACCTTCTTCAATGGCTAAAATCACCACAAAGAGCTCAAAAGGTCAAAACGAAGGCCAAGCTTTCGTGGAGAGTGAAAAGGGATGTGATGGAGGCCGAGAGCGTACAAACACTAGCCCTGGAATAAGGGTTAAGCCTTCAGGTGGCCACTATGTCATGACCATAATCTTGTTACGTCGTGGCACACAAGACTGATGCGTGCATGTGCACCTATTGTCACATTGTGGTAACCCATCTCCTACATTGTGGCACATGTTTTTCCCTAAAAAACCCATCTTTGATCCCATTAAATTAGATTTCGTCCTCGAAATCTTTCCTTATAAATTATTATTAAAACACCTTCTGAATCCCCTTGTGGGATCTTCCATGTCTATTTACTTCTTACACGAACCAATGTCACTCTGAATGAATGGAACCAAAACTACAAATCACATTGATTTCTAAACCCAGGCGCCTACCGCCAAACCCGAACGAAGACTCCCAAAGGTCAAAATTGATGGGCTATGAGCATATCTACATTCCTATGTGATCATGCAACCTTAATTGATTTAGATCTAAGTTTTTCTCTATTGAACATGCAAACTGAACACCAAAGCAATATCCCTAGAAACTAGCACACAAATTTGAAATTCACATGAAAATAGGGTTAGAATATTACCTCACTTGTTATATAGTAATAACAAGACAATCATTGAATATCCTTGACTCTTGAAAGCTTATTGCCCCAAGTGTTGCACCTCTAATGGAGTCACAAACACTCAACGCAAAGGATGAGTTAGATAGACAAGGAAATTGGCTAGGGTTAGTATCATATGCCTGGAGCTGAAATTCCTAGGGTTTAGAGGTTTGATATATGGCTAGGTTGCTTGGTCTTGAAGTTGGACTTCAATTAGGAAACCCTAATTCTTACCTTAAGCCCAAAGCAACCCATGGACCTCCTTAATGGGCCCTTGGATGAAATCTTATGGACTTACCCATAAATTTCGTCCACTCCATTTACAAGGAGTCCTAAGTCCAATTTCACAACTATCAATGATTTGCAAAACAACCCATCCATTATTAATCAGATCCTTTAATCACCAAAATTAATATCTAATTAATTGATGATTAAATACCAATTAATAATATGATTTCCAAATAATATATTAATCTTATAATATATTAATAAAATCATTTTGTGTTCAATTTATTATTTCAAATAATAAATTCTACTCTCTATCCACTAATCATCCTTTCAAGTTGCATGAGTGAAGGCAACCCAAAAGGACCATGCTACATATCAAATTAATTACATACCAATTATAGTTATGGGCTTAGACATCTAATCCAACAGTTTCCCACTTAGATAAGTCTAATAACGATTATTGCAAGTATGACTTCAAAATTTGACCAATAATCGTAGCTTTCAAAAGCCGCTGCTGAACTTTGATCTAATAAATGACACATCCTTTAGATAAGTGATCAAATATCACACTGTCCTATAAGATATCATATGGACATAAGACATGGATTATAATCATTATCTATGTTCAAGGTTTGTTTCCCGATTTCTGATTTATGATGATTGACTAATAGAACAAATCAAATCAGTCCAGGCTTCGCCGAGTGCTTAGGGTGTCATCACTAAATCATCGAGGCGACCATAGATATCACTTTTATCCCATTTAGGGTAAAAGGAACGGATAATATTCGACCCATATGCTTGCACAATTACTCATCAAATCACACACAATAATACATTTTATAACATCAAGTTACTGATGCGTTTACGTATTATCAACGCACAACCGACTTGTAAATAACAACTCATATGTCTCCATTTTAAGAATATAAGATATTATTGTCTCAAAATTTCTCGTGATAAAATCCATGAAGTAATTCTTGAGCGTGGGTTAATCCAATACTCATATTCCTATTTCAGGAGTACTCATGAACACTGCAGCAAAAATTTGCTATGTCTAAGCACTTAGACAACCTACAGTTGGATTCATGATAGTCTTAATTCATTACTTACTTCCAAAAGTATGATTGACTGTGGATGTTTAAATAATCTTATTATTTGGGAAGTAAAACACGCGAAGTGAAACACAAGAATAATCTAATCCAATAGGCTCTCAAAACTTTTGAATATAAATAAAACAATTATTATTAAATCACCATATTAATTAGACCTTATTCACTCTATAATGTTTCGAACAATCAAATTAATACTTGAATTAAAACAATAGTCATGGAATGCTCCGAACATGCATACTATGTTTATCTATGGTGCTTTCTTTGTGAAATAGATAAATTGAACACATTTCCAAAGATGCTCATTTCACAATTCCAAATTATTGCTAATACTAGAATCTGTTAGAGTCTAAACTTACATGCAATGATCCTTTTGTAATGTCTAGGCACCAAAGTCACAGAGACTTGGCCTATGATATTACAAAACATTTCATTGGAGATTTGTTACAAAACAATTCCGTAGAAATGAAGTCTCGCATTCAAAGATCATTCTTTGAACATCCTTCTTACATTAAAGTTTCTAACTCATACATATATCTTAATATCCAACTCCCATAATGGAAACATTTCCATATTTCCATATGACTATCATTTCTGAACAAGGGTTACCTCTATTCAGAACATGTCAATATGGTCCGTCAAAATTAATATTGTACTTCTAACTATCCACAAGTAGCCAATCTTTGGAAAACCTCAGAATGTCCTTGACAGTTGTTAATAACTTTAGTCATATCCAGTTCTAGTCCTTTTTCCTTCTTATTGCGCTAGGCATTTGGAAAAATCAGAACAAAAGAATATTATAGCATATGCAATCGACCTTATACCTGAAGCATATGGGATACCATTCATTATGTCTTACATAAACACATGACACTTGACTAGTCTCTTGCTAAAATATTTCCATATATAGAATTTCTTATGTTGAAACATTTCAACATGATATTCATATATGTTCATGACTAAGTTCTATTAAAATTTCTATCTAAACTTTTGGATTCGAAATGAAGTATAAATGCCCTCTCCCTTAAGACTTCCTATAGCGAAACAATTTCTAAATTCTGTAACTTTGCAAATTTGAAGCTTTGTTTCTTATAAATAGTATTGCTAACTTGCAATACTCAACACAATAATTATGCTCCCACTAGCATAAAAATTTTGTTCTTACTAGCATAACAATTATGCTCCCACTAGCATTGATATGTACCCAGAAATCAGTTGGACTTCTAGAAATCAATACCTATTGACTTTCTTACCAAACTTTAGATTTCTGATACGTAGTGCTTCGATAAGTCTTTATCTAGACTTCTCAATCTTATACACCTTTCACTAGACAACTTATGTGTGTGTTAAACCCTTTCAGAACTTATAACAATAAGTCTCGAATGTTCAAACTATTTCTTGCCATTTCTCACAATTTGAACTATGAAAATGGATGCCGTAATCATACTCGAATTTGAGAACGCAGTTATCACAACTGCTTTCTCTAATGATATTAATCAATCCTTTAAAATCTACCAGCGAAAGCGTTTCCTCACAATCATTTTCATGAAGTAGAGAAACCTCTTTCCACTTAGATTTTATAGTGTATGTTTTCCTATCCATGTTAAATTTTCATTTCCAACCACTATCATAAGACAAGGTTTATGACAAATTCAAACTCATACAGACTAAACTTGCTTAATCTTAATTTCTTGCTATTCGGTAGCTCAACAGCCTACCATTGTTTCCAAGTTATTGAGTATCTCACCCATACAGATCAATGAACTTTCACTGATCAAGGTTCTTTGCCTTATGCAATCAAATGAGAACTCATAGAACTCACATGTATATTCAGCTTAACTAAAATAGGCACAGAAACATGAATATGTCAACACGATAGGTTATTAAACTTAGGTCGTGTGCTAGTGATCACTAACAGGTTTATTCTCGATTGTTATCCTGAAACTTTTCAAGATCAACAAGACTCCTGCTGACCTCTTAACATATAAGATTCTCTGTCAAGGATCATTCCTTTACAAAAAAATATTCAAGAGTTAGTGCGGACTCTTATCAACATAACACTTCATATAACTAGTCTTAGTTTATCTTTGTTTTATCCAAAACATCACAACTACCAATTTGAAATGTGCAAGAGTAAGAAAACAATTTTACTCCACATTTCATGAGGTGTTATAAACCTACCTAGAAATTGTTACTCAAGGTACAACTTGGCGTAACTAGAGTATAAATCTAATACATTATTTTGATTCATCTTCTTGATTTAACCATTTCAACAATTCCTGATTGCTCTTCTTTGTCGTATAAATGCACTAAGGTGTCCTTAGAGGATCAATTGTGACACAGTTCCATAATCATTAGGATGATCATAATAACATGATACTAAAGTACTCTCCTTTCCTTTCATATTAGAGAAACTTTTTTCTTTCTTCCCAACGGATTTTTCTTATTCGTTCTGCTATACTTTGAAACTTTTCAAGGTATCAGAATTACACTTAATCTTGTAAGCATAACCATAATTACTGAATCAACAGAAAATCAAGAGGAATAGAATTTATCGCCCTTGGTGGTAGATCTGACCTATCCACATCAATATGCACTAGATCCTTCAGTATTTAACTTGACTCACATATACATATGAACAAGGAATTAGTCTTAATTTCCCAAAGATCAAGATTCTAATACATCACTTAATTCAAATCGCATGATTCTAAGTTTCTATCCAATTAAAACATGCATGATGAGAATCGTTCCTTATTTGGTAAATTATGACACTACCACAAGCGATATAACTAAGAATCAAATCCATTTTTCGACATTGCTAATAATAGAAATATAAACACAAATTTTCATAAATGCCATTGCAATTAAATGTAAAATAAGATAAAATAAAAATTTTATTTTGTGGATAAAATGCGGAAAACTTGTCTTTACAATGCAAATACATATAAAAACTATGTTTCTAAATATTCCTAAGCAGTCTATCATAAATCCTAAGTAGTAGCTCCAAATTCCGATCTTTTGAACCATGTGATTGAAGTCAATTTCTTTAGATAAGAATCAGCCTTTACTTCCTCTTAATCTTCCTTTATTTTCTTAGATCCTACAAAACAAGAAAATGTGATTAACACATCATGTAATAAGTATCTATAAACAAGAACTTAATAGAGTTAGATACTGGATGTACCTGAAGTAGAGTCATACAATTAGACTTTACTATTTATAAGATCTCTCTGGTAGTCTG